TGGTACATGTATGACTTGTGAAATGACATGCTTGAGAATACACCAGTCCCAAAACTGTGCCGTTAGTAGCAAGAAAGACATGGATTTTGTTCCTCCTTGGTGGTTGATATAAAGCATTGTAGTGTTGTTGTCTGTGGCTATTGGAATAACTTTGCCAACTACAAATTGTTCAAAAGCTCTCACTGTGTTGTACACTGCAAGAAGTTTGAGCTAATTGATGTGACAACATCTATCTATTGCTACTGCCTTATGAATTTGCCAGAATATTTTTTTCCAGTTTTCCTCTCCTAAAAATGAGGTGCATCTTATTTGGAGGTGCGTCTTATGGAGCGAAAAATACGGTAACTTTTTAAGACATACCACTTTAATGCTGGTTTAATGTTGACAAATTACCCTTTTTAAGTAGAGGAAGAGTACAGCATGGTATATAATTGCTCAAAGCTTGTCTGTCTAATAGCAACAAAATCTCTTTTGGTAAGAGAGGATTTTCTTTTCTAATAACACGAAACTTTGTCAGCCTTGATAATAGTTCTTCAGCAACAGAAAGGGGATGGTAAAAAAAAGGATCAAAATAAATAGCTTCCACGAGTTTAGTTATGCTTTAACAAAATCCACAGGGCAACAAACAGGAGATGTCACAGTAATTCAGTTAAGATTGTTGTACAGATAAATTCATTGTGGTAGAATAGACTCCTGGCTGTAAAACTTTTCTTGAGACAGAGTGATTTGACAAGCCAACAACTAGAAGGCAATCAAGTGCACCACAAAATGCAGTTCCACTAAGAAACTTCTACAAATTAATCCTGAAAGTGTACCTATTACCTTTAATTTTCCCATGAAATGTCATTGAACTGTAATCACAGTTGTTTCTGTGAGGCATTAATCTGTACTTTAGAAATGGCAACATTCATCTTGAAGATCATGACTTGGAGAACAAATATTTCAGTACTGTCACCCCCAGGCTTGTAGACATGAAGCCTGTTTGTGCAACTGCTACTTCTGTTCAATGTCAGGATCAAGTAATTTGATTTAGATGAACACTGCATAGTCACAGGTTGATTATTGTCTGTCAGGAATCGAGGTGCGCTGAGCAAAGCAGTGTTATCAGCAGCCTTCAAGGTCCTTGCAGAGAAGTAAACACATGATACAACAGCTTCTTCAAAGCTTATATAACATATGTACAGTCTTCACAAAATGTTCCAGCAGCATGTCCTCTAGCAATTCTCCAACTCTCCACAATAGATGTGTGTCCCTGTGTACAATATATAATTACAAATAACATGACCTCATCCTAGATTATCTCACATGATTACTTCAGCTTTCTGCCTAGTCAGCATGACTCAGCTTTACACACAGCTGTATAATATGGATGATTAACAACTTCCTTTATACATTCGGTCTAAGATGTCAGTTTCTTCTATTACAAACCATGTAATTTCCCGACTGCCTCATGGTGGAAAACTATTATATGGGGCCCATATGAACAATTTTTATTATGTGTGTTTTGTTGTCTTTGAACCTGTTTTAAGAAAATTTATAAATAGGCAGCCCTAAGCTAGGGCTTTGCCTACTCGGACAATTCACAGAATACTGTTCATGTAAAACAGTAGGTTCCAGTCTAGGGTAATCCAGGTTTTCTTGGACTGCAACTCCCAAAACCCCAGTCCAAGCACACTTGGGTTACGTTATGTTTGAACTACTGATGTAGAAGGCTATAATGTGGCAATATCAAAAGGCAAATTTGTAGTGAAAGAATGGTTCTGTGACTGGAGTTATAAAGGAAAGAGGCTGTGATATAGGAGCAGTTAGAGATGGGCATGAATTAAAAATTAATCACCAAATTTGATGAGTAATCACAGATTTGTTGATTCATATTTGTACGAATCAGTGCCTATGACTAATCATGAATCAAGTATTTTTAAAGCAATTTATGATTCAGCAATTCATTTGGCTATAAAATGGCCCCAAAGCACATCGAAACATCAAAATAGCAGGGAGGCTTCCTGACTCCTCTACAATTCCTTGAAGTTTGGTGAAGATTGGATTTTGAATCTGTGAGTTATACACCCACAAAGAGGGGGCCCTGCCGGAGAGTTTCCCTAGGCACCTAGAGACACAGAAATCATGGAGAAGCTTCTACCGACTGTAAGCAATCCCCCATCTCCAAGGAGATTAAGGGGAAGCCGGAGAAGGAGAGATTCCTGAAAATTAGTCAGTCCTTATGAGCTAAGACGAGCCCTAAATCTCAGCAGGCCCTGAACCAATTTTCCTTCCTCAAATCCATCCCCTTTGTTAAGAAAAAGTAACAAACACAGACAGTCCATACGTTTACACTCAGGCTAATCTGGGCTCTATATATGGTAGCAAAATATTCGTGGCCAATTACTTAGGCTAGTTTGTACAAGAGACCAATGCATGCAATCTTAAACATTATTGCTTTTATTCAGAAAGATAGTTCTAGACAGAATTCAGATTATAGTAAAGCATTTCAGTCAGTAACATTTCCATATCAAGTCAGACAGACCACCCCACAAACTCCAGCTAAGAAAAATAACACAAGAAAAGATACTAAGCTAGAATTATGCATAGGTGTTGTCTTTCTTACGTATCCTGTGACTCCATAGTCCATAGTCCTTCAGGAAGGCTAGATTCTTGTTGTAATCCAAAAGTCCATGTTGGCAAAAAGCTCCATTCAAAAGATATAATCCATTTTGGGAAAAAGCACATGTCTGTCCTTTCTCAGTCAAACTCCATCTTTTTCCCTCTACCAACTTCCTTCTCCTTCCCAGGATGCTTCATAAGGAACACCCCCTCCTGGGTCTTGTTGTCCCGCCTAACGTTCTCATGGAAGCTTGAGTTGTTATCATGTCTTGTGGCAGAATTATTATGACTACCAGGAATGTAACTCTCTGGCTCTTCTTAGCAACTAGATAACCAGAGAACGAAGCTTCTCTGAAACAGCATGTTAAATTTTCCTACCACAGACACAGACATTAAATCAAGATGGATGCTATTGGGACAATCTTAGGACTACATATCCCATTGTAATACACATAAAAACACAGATCATCACACTGACGTTCTTCTAAAATGCCTCCAGGTTTGATGAAGATTGGGTTTCAGATATCCAAGTTATGCACCCACAAAGTGGGTCACCCCAGGAAAGTGCCCTTTAGCAGCTGGCTTGGGGAAACCCAATATTCACCAAACTTGGAAGGATTGTAGAGGAGAGTCTGGAGAAGCTTTTATGTACTTCTAGTGTCTCTAGTTGTCTTGGGGGTGAACGTTCCTTGTGGGTGTATCAATCAGGCATCTGAATCCAAAACTTAGCTAAACTTGCAGGACTTTTAGAGGAGAATCAGGAGAAGCAAATTCCTGCAAATTTGATGTCTCTAGGTGCTTTGGGGGGCATTTTATAGGGTTTAAAAGTAAAAAAAAACAACAAATTGACAAATCGATTTGACAGAAAAAATCATAATTCATTGACCTTCAAGAATCATGAATCAAAAATCATCACCATTTTTTTCTGATACAACCCCGTCTCTATTCCTAGTACTTGAAAAGATGAACATTTCCAAACAGGGCAGTGAGATCACTATCCCTAAGCAGTAAGTTTACCTGTGAGGGGTGGGAGGCCAGGTGCCTCTCCTGGACACCTAAATTTGTCAGGATTATTAGCACTTTGGGGGCATTAAAGGTTTCCCATTCCACCCTAAGGTTCCTCAAGACTTCTCCAGATCAAAAAGAATCCCTAGGGAGCCACAGAACCTGAAAAGAGGGGAAGGATTGGAAACTTCTAATGAACAATAAGAGCCCATAGCTGGTGGTGTCATAAGCTTCTGCAGGCATAAGTAACGGAATTTGACATTAAGAGGATTTTGGCCAGTGTTTTCTCCAGTAGTAGTACTTTTTGAACTTCATAGTGAACAATCATACAATTGCAGAAATCTGCCTGTGCTGGTAATCTTATCTGACATATTCTTGAAGGCTTTAATGGTCGGGATCCGATGGTTGTTGTAGGTTTTTCGGGCTCTTTGGCCGTGTTCTGAAGGTTGTTCTTCCTGACGTTTCGCCAGTCTCTGTGGCCGGCATCTTCAGAGGACTGACATTTTAAATATTGTGACTTGTATTAGAAGAGGTGGGCAAGAGTTGGCAAAGCTCTTCCTGCCTTTAATCAAGCACTGCAACTGGGGTGAAAAAAATTCAGTGCTGAGAAAATTGCATATTTGGTGGTGGTGGGGACTTGACAGGTGGTCAGTATGACCTTTTTATTGGCAGACATACTTGCATTTATGGCAATATTTTGTTTGACTTTGTTATAGCATGTTATATTATACTTTTTAAAAAGTAACTTGGATTCTTAACTGTATATAAAGTTAATCATCAGTTGCCCTGTAGCAGATTAATTCAGACACTATAGGTCAAATCCTTCCCTTTCATTTCTCAATGTGAGCTGTCAGTTTTGACATTTGAGTGTTTGGTAAAGTGGAAGTTAGAAAATAATTTAAAAAACACACACAAAACTGCTGAAAACATTGAACAAAAGCTACCACAGCTTTTGTAAGCATGTGTGTTTGTTTCAGTAAAACAACCAGGCCAGATTAACACAGTCATGAAGTGTCTGTGCATTGGAATAACTTAACATGGTCCACAGTATGTGCTAAATATTCTTTAATAACCATTCTAGGTCTCCCAAGTTGTCATATAGTGCAGAAAAGTACAGTAAATTCTTCTATTGTGTATTTTTACAGTATTAAGGATAACATTGCTCATCTCCCCCTTCATTCTTTTACTTGCATGTTTTCTGGTTTTCTTTTTCCAGTGATTAAACTTACTTTACTTGTTTGTAGCGGGTACAATATAAGAATTTTGGGAATCTATTTTTAAACTATGATGCTTATAAAGGATTTATTGTTCATCCAAAATTGATGTCATAATTAAACAATGCAATTAATATCTTAAGTAAATTTATTTGTTCTGTTTGTGTCATCATTTCTTAGTATTGAATTTGACCGGGACTGTGACTATTTTGCCATTGCTGGGGTGACAAAGAAGATTAAAGTCTATGAATATGGCACAGTCATCCAGGATGCAGTTGATATTCATTACCCAGAGAATGAAATGACCTGTAATTCCAAAATCAGGTATGTGCTACCTTCCTAATCACTCCTAGTCATAAAAGGATCTTTCTGGTCAATTTAGTGTGTGCATCTAACTAGTCATGATGAGTGAGGTGCTGTTCATTCTTTTGCTTAGAGGTCTGTTTGTCATAAATAAAATTCCTGGCAAAGGATGGCATATCATACTGTGTCAGTAGCAACTATATCATTGCTGTATGAGAGTGCAACAATATATATTGTTTAACAGAGGAAATTAGCATCCCATAAGGCAATTCTGAAAATGGGGGCATCCCAAACAAAAAATATATATAACTTTGAAACTGGATATCAGATCAGTGCCAAATTTGGCACAGGTGCAGCAAATTGTTTGGGCAAATGGTTTTCATGTTATGATTTTTTAAAAAGAAAAATATTCCCCCTGTGCAGACCCTGGTGACCTTTTCTGTCTGCAAAGTTAAAACACATCAAATATATTGAAAAGACCAAACTTGCTTATCTTGAAAGAGAATGGTTAGTACCAGCTGCATTTTTTTTTAATTTGGAAGGAATCCAGGCATCAGGGGCTATAATACTTACTTTGAAAAGCTATTTCGAAGGGGAAATACCTTTGTCCTTTTGACTTTCTTATAAACTGGTTATCAGCATGAATGTTCTAAACATAAACATTGTTTTAACTTGGGAGCGGGGAAGGGAATCTGAACTTTTGAAATATAGAAATATTTTCATGGTCTAGCATATTTTCCTTAGGGACTATATCCGGGTGACACACTGTAGCTTGTGAGCAAGAATCTCTTAGTGCAAGATATTTATTATTATCAACATAAATAACATTGAGCTACATAGAAGATTCTGGTTATATTCTATCAAAAAGCATTGGATGACCCTAGCCACAGGAGGCTCTTGGCTCTCTGGCCTCTGTATTACTTGGGTTGCTATGGGAACAGATTCAACCGCTTCCTTAGTAGCTCCATTATGTTGGAGCCATTTGGCTAACCGGAATTTCCCCCTTTTTGCTGATTAACATCTCTAGTCTTTTGGGTCTGACGTTGAGCCCCAAAATGTCCTCCCCCCCCGCATAATATTGTTTACTGGCTTTGGGTGGGATCCCTCTCCTCTGGTCATCCCACACTTTTCCGCCAATTTTTACCTCAGAGAACCTGGGGTTTCTTATCTCACTTATGGAATCTGCATTTTCACTTGCTTTCATTATATTTTAAGGATTTTTGTCTCTCATGAAATAGCGCCATTCCCCAGGTAAAATAGAACAGAATTCCAATCACATTTTTCATTTGTTTTCATGCTCCATCCATTTCTCCAGACATTGAACTAATTTAACCCCCAATTGGGAATAAGATTCCTCAGGCTTTTTGGTCAGGGCATGAAATTTTCAGCTCAGGTGTTCTGCACTGATGCTATATCTAGAATGAACCAATTTTCTATAAGCTTCAAAGTCTCTGGCCTGCTCTAGAGGCATCTGTGAATAGAGATCAGCTAAATCTCCACTTATTTGGGATCTCAGCACAATCATTCTATCTTCCTCTTTCACATTAAAGTCCCAGCACATACGTTCAAGGGAAATGAGGAAAGATTCTGGGCACTCATGTTTTCTATATTGGGGAATTTTCTTTAGATCAATCTTTGAGAGATTTCCCTCACTAGTGCTGTTTTTATTATTATTTTAAGAAGTTAATTCTAATCGTTTCATCTGTATTTGAAATTCCATTTCTCTTTGTCTTAATTCCATTTCTTTTTGACTTTTTTCTTACTCAAATGCCATTTCTCTCTCTCTTAATTCTATTTGTCTAGCCTGAGCTCTCTCCCTTTCTCTAATTTTTAATTCCTTGAGTTGTAGTCCCTGAGCTTTTTCTTCAGACCTAGCTTTTTCTTTCTCCAATTCTAATTGATTTCTCATAACTAGCTCCTTCAATTTAAATTCCTGTTCCAGCTTCCATTTTTCAAACTCTTGTGAGATTGGATCATTTTCTCTCCCCGTGGCACCCTCATGAGTCTCATCCTGTTCCACAGATAGAGGAACTCCATTTCCCTCCACTTCCTGAGGTAAACCTTGTGCCTCTTGAGGATCAATTACCTCAATTACTAGCTTTTTACTACTTTTAGGTGGCATATGTATGTGTATTTCTTTGGATTAGAGCTGGTTTATATTGCAGAGATAGTCAGACCTCTTTTTAAAATACTTTTTCTTTCTAAGATACTATGTAGCTCTCCCTTGGCAGCTAAGAATGGCTATACTTTTTCTGGCATGACGCCAGCCATGATGTTCTTTGGTCTGAGACAATCCTCTTGCCCCTAGACACAAAACAAATTCTGATGTTTGTTTCTTTGTTAGTTTATTTATTTATTTATTTATTTGATGCCCCACCTATCTGGTCATTGCGACCACTCTAGGCGGCTTCCAGACAATATAAAAAATAACATATAAATATACCAAAATTAAAAATATAAAACAATAAACAATAAGCGGATTCTTCAAGATGGAAAGGTAGCAAAAGATAACTGAAAAGGAAGAAATTAAGTATTGACTGGAGGAAAGGCCTGCTTAAACTTCCAGGTTTTTAGTTGGGTCTTAAAAATAGCTAGCGATGGGGCAGCACTTATCTCTGGAGGGAGGATGTTCCAGAGGTGTGGAGCCACCGCCAAGAAGCCCCGATTTCTTGTTTTTTCCTTTCGGGCCTCTCTCGGCGTCAGGCCCCTCAGCTTCACCTCCTGACTCGATCAAGTGATATGGGTAGATCTTGGTGGGACTAGGCGTTCCGTCAAATATCGAGGTCCTAAACCATTTAGGGCTTTATATGTAAGCATCAACACTTTGAAGTCTATGCGGAATCGGATGGGCAGCCAATGCAATGCAGCCAGAGAGGGTGAGATATGTTGGTATCTTCTCACTCCACTGAGTAATCTGGCCGCAGCATTCTGCACCACCTGTAGTTTCCGCAGCAGCCTCAAAGGTAGCCCCACGTAGAACGCATTACAGTGGTCTAATCCTGAGATTACGAGCGCATGCACCAAGTCAGTGAGCACCCCAACATCGAGATAGGGTCGCAGCTGGGCTATCTATCGAAGGTGAAAAAGGTGGTATGGACCACCGACGCCACATGAGTTTCCATAGTGAGCATTGGGTCCAGATGGATCCCCAAGCTGCGAACCCCACTCTTGGCGGCAAGAGTTGCCTCCCCAAAAGAGAGTGTTTCCCAAACCACCCACTGTGGGGGCGCCCACCCTCAGTACCTCCATCTTATCTGGGTTCAGCCTCTGCCCATTTTCCTGCATCCATTGCAGTACAGCCTCCAGGCAGCGCTGAAGGGACAAAACGGCATCACCTGCAGTTGGAGAAAAGGAGATTTAGCGTTGGGTGTCATCAGCGTACTGATGACACGATGCCCCACACCCCCTGATGACCCCACCCAGCGGCCTCATATAGATGTTAAACAGCATTGGGGAGATAATTGACCCCTGTGGAACCCCACAATTGAGACTCCACAGGGCTGAAACATTCTCCCCAAGCTGTACTCTCTGGGGACGGTCCTCCAAGAAGGAACAGAGCCAGGCAAATGCCAAGCCACCAATTCCCAACTCAGAGAGCCTCCCCAAGAGGATACCGTGGTCGACAGTATCAAAGGCTGCTGAGATGTCGAGAAGGACCAACAGAGACACTTTGCCCCTGTCAGCCTCCCTCAGCAGGTCATTGTACAGGGCGACCAATACCGTTTCTGTACCATGGCATGGCCTGAAGCCCAACTGAAATGGATCCAGGGCATCTGTTTCATCCAAATGCGCTTGGACCTGGTCGGCCCCACCCTCTCGACCACTTTGCTAATGAAAGAAACATTAGTGACGGGCCTATAACTGCCAATTTTGTCCGCCGCCAAACTAAGCTTCTTCCTTATGGGCCTAATGAGTGTCTCCTTGAGGGCAGAAGGAACTCTGCCCTCAAGGAAAGACCCATTAACTATTGCTGTGGCCCATTCCGTTGTTATAGGCCTGGCTGCTTTGATTAGCCAGGCCGGGCAAGGGTCAAGGGAGGAGGTGATGGCACGACAGTGATCAAGCGCCTTGTCCACAGTGTCCAGCGTCACAGGCTGAAAGCAGTTGAAATTCACCAGGCAAGATGGAGCGCTGGACATCTCCGCTCGACTCACTGTATTTTAAAAGGGAGAAAGGAGAAAGGTCCCGGTGGATGACCTCCACTTTAGATTTTAAAAATGCTGCAAATTGGTGTGGTGAAAAACTAGAGGGAGGCCCATCACTCAGACCAATTCCGGATAGGTTGCATACTATACGGAATAATTCCGCCTGCTGATTTGGAGCTTTGCTTATCCGGTTAGTGAAGTATAGATGACTGGCAGCCTTGGCCAGTTAAAGGTTAGCTGCGACCCTGACAGCTATCCAATTATGATCAGTCGGGTTCTTCCTCCACTTGCGCTCTAGCCTTCTCCTTGTTCCTATCACCTCAGACCTGTTTTGTCCCCGGCTTCCACTTTTTCTTCACAAGCGCTCCGTTAACTCTTGGAGCCTTGGATTCTAAGCTGGGTGTATTCAAATTCTGAGGTAACCTCAAATAGAATTTTTCTCTTAGAGTTGTTCCCTATCTTTAGTCCTCCCAAGATCTGCATTCAGAAGCCCCGCCAGTAAGCTTTTCCACAAAAGCTCTAGCGAGTCACCCTCTTCTTTATTACAGACCTCTGACTAAAAGGCACTCTTGACTCAGAAAAATTCACTTTAAACTTCGGCTTTACTAGAATATTTTCGTATCCCGTCGCTGGACACCACTTGTGACATTTATCATGTGGCTCCTGCCTATTTCCCCAAACAAAGGGATCATGCTATGCCATCCCACCAACAGATACCAATTGTGACATTCTCTCTTATCCTCACTTCCACCAGTGGATTTCCTTTATCCACAATACAGTGATGCCTCGCAAGACGAAATTAATTCGTTCAGTGAGTTATGTCACATTCGTTGAGTTATGTTCGGTGAGCCAGAGGTCCCCCGCCAGTTTTTTCAC